AGAAAGGACAAAAGAAAAAAAATGGGGGTAAAAAAAAAAGTCTATTTCTAAGACACTATTTGGAGACTTTCCTGCCACCCAGGCGTAGAGATCGATTGATAAAGGGAAGAAATAAAAAGTTGGTTTATTTGATCCAAGTTAAAACTGACCTGTTGTTATCTCTGATAACTCTTAATGGACTTTTGCTGACCGAAACTGAACAACAAGGCTTTAAGGATTTTTTTACAGGTAAGAGATGAGATATGGAAAGGAGAGATTTGTTGTATTTTAAAAGAAGATGATAAGTTAATAAAATGGTTTGTGATGAAAGGGAAAGTCATTTCTTTATGTATTTCTTTTCCTTTTATTACTATATATTATTTTTCTTTCCTTTTTATTTTTTTCTATTTTTCTTTTCTGTACTTTCTATTTTTCTTTGTTATTGTATTTTTGAAATGTGTATTAATTTTTGATTATAATGTTTAAATTACTATAAACATGTCAGCAAAATGACAGAAGTGGGATCCAACGAGGGATGGGATCTGTATCAAATCCAGAAAGCCCAGATAAGAATTTATTTCCCAGGCCTAAAAATTAAGAGAAAGGAAGTGAGCAACTAGCAACCCCAGTACCTTAAAAGCAGTCACATGTTCTCCAACTTCTTCTACCACTCCAGCTACATCTGTACCTGGTGTATATGGTAAAGATGGTTTCCATTTATAAGCTCCAGAACGAATATAGGTGTCTACTGGGTTAATCCCACATGCATGAACTTTGATGAGAACCTGAAGGAGAAAAAAATATGTCTCCCAACCTAGTTCGAAAGGAAGGGGGATACTTTTCTAAGCGTGTAACCTCGCAATCTCAAGTTTCTTAGATCAGAGATAAATTTGCAGTCATCCTTGATTTGGCTCCCTCCAGAAGCCATTAAATCATAATTTTCAGCATCTACATGGATGTGTAAGACATGAGCAAGATGACTTGGAGAAATGTCCTCTCACCCCCCCAGAATCATTAATCAACCTATTTCCTTGCTGACTTCTTACTACTTGTGAATCCACATACATATCCACCTCAACTGTTGACGAAATAGTGCAGGAATATGTTCCAGATCATTGATGTCAATTTCAATTATCCAAATACAAATGCTGGGTTCCAATTAAGGCACAACTGCAATCATTTTCACCATTTTATTTTCCGAAATGAAATTATTTGTATCAAGTTTTATTCAAGCTCATTTTGCATTATCTATCCGGTGTTTAAGAGTAGCAACAGTAGCAAAAGCAGCCAAGATTGCATATTCTTTATTTTACCTGGTTTTCTTTTGGAACCGGCACTAACGTATCTAGCTGCAGTTTGAGCACTTCAGGCCCACCAAATTCAAACACTTTTATGGCTCTCATCAAATTTTTTCCTGTTGTCATGACAACCTGAAAATGCAGAGATATAAAAACTACAGTATCTGAATATCTGCTGCCTTTTGCACTTCAAAGGGAATCAAATCACTTGCTCTTCACCTGAATTTAAGCCAATGGTTCTCTATCCATTTCTTCCTGTTCTATTTTATATCTCCCATCTAATTTTTATCCCTAAAAGGATAAAATTCCAACCACAATGTGAAGAAATCTTGAATCAAACATAGCAAAATATATATAAACAAATATATCACATTTTCTGAATGATTTACTGCATTGTAAAGTTAACAGGATTTTGCAAAGGAACAGAGTCCTAGATTATGACTGGTGAGTGTCTACTGAACCATGAAACTCCCAAGGAGATTACTACACAGTCCGACCTGCCTTACAGAAGTGTGAAAATAACCAGAAGGGAAATACAACATGTGTTACCTTGAGCTTCTGACCTCCTGGAAGAGTAGAATCAAAATACAACACAGACATCAAAGATTCTGATGCCAATAAAATCTCAGGGAAGGCAAAATCAACAAACATTCAAATCAGGACATCAGTATCTTTGATCTGATATGCAAATAATTGGCACTTTTTTCTTCCCCTTTGGGGTAAAGAAAACAAAGGCATACCTGGAGTCTAATAATACTTGTCATAACATAGCTTGATTACTATACAGTTCTGCTCAAATTCCATCCAAATGTTCATCTACAGAGAGAAATCTTTCTTCCTCTTTAGGCAAACAGCTAACAGTGCTTGGCAAATGAACACATAAATAGTAACATAGGGCCTTGCAGTGTTTTAGATTCAATCTCTAAAAACTGATTTGAGGTACATGGGAATATGAACCTAGTACGTGTATAAAGCAGCTTTACCTTTTCTTGACATTGTATGATTGCAGATTGATATTTACGCCTTAGAGTACCAATTGCAGAAACTCCTGGTTTGCACAAACTGAATATTGCAAATTGAATTCACTTGCTCATATTTTGTTGCATCATATCATTTATACCCGTGATGGCGAACCTGTGGCACACAGAGGCATTGCTTAGGGCATGCAAGGTGTTGCCCTGTCAGCGCCGCCAACTGATTTCGGCCTTCATTTTCAACCGTTTTGTGTTTCCCAAACTTCCGGTTTGTTCATTGGGCCATTTTTCTCTCTCTGAAGGCTTTGGGAAAACCTCCTGAAGGCTCCGGAGGGTGAAAAACAGCCCTACAGGCAATCTGAAAGCGTGGCACGACAAAACCGCGGTCCACTAAAGCGCGCCCAATTAAAGCGCGTACCGGACGTCATAAGCAGCGCAACAAATACGACCGCGGAGATTTTAAAAAGCGAAAAAAGAAAGCCGATACACGTAAAGGTA